CTGAGAATATTATGTAGGCTGTAACAGTTGCTGCTGAAAGCCTTAACTGCCAGCATAGTTGTTGGCTTTTTGTTCAATGCTTCAAAAATGATTGCCTTTTCTCTTTCACTGTCCATATTCACATCAGCCTACAACTGCAATGGGAATAAAGCATTATTAATGAACCAGGGCAATATGCAGAAGTCACAATACAATAATCACACAAAAGTTTACAGAATTCCTTTAAGTTAACGTTATATTATGTTACAAATGCAAGATGTCTAGCTATATAAACTGAATGAATGAATGACACATACTTGACAAAACTGGCCATAATCCTGAGCAGAAGACAAATCAGAGACAAGTTTAAAAAAAGTATTAATGAACTGCTAGTACAGACTAGTTCATCACCTCTGTAATTCAGAAATAAGTCAGATGGGCTGAAGAGTTCACCAAAGACTTTGAACTAAATTCAGATTAGCATTTGTCTGACATATTTTCCCCCTCTCCTCTACTTCAAGAATCCCAAAAAGCTGGAATGCAGCAATAATGTGAGTCCTGTGCAGCAGGGCCTGCTTTATCTTCTAAGGGATTTATACATTTTAAAAAAACCATCAAATTTCTTACCATCTTTCCACAAGACAGAAGTGCAATGTAAAACATCTCACAGAAGAAAAATGTTTCTTCTACCTATTGGCAGGGTAGACAATAGCCTTTCCTAGATGGAGGCAGATAGCCTAAGTCAAGACTAATTTCTATATGCTAAAGCTGTTCATTAGAAATATCAGCAATAGGGAGAAAAAAACCATTGGAACTTAAAAGGTACAGCATACACAGTTATCTATTTTTTGTTAACAGATTACTTTAAAAAGATGAGTATATATTAAGAGGCTAGGAAATAGTAAAGATGCAGATTCTTCCATCCTACAATTAAATTTGATTCTACTGTAATCAGAGACAGATCTGGCCAAAGTGCCAAGGCATGTCCACAGATTCCTGGAATCAAAGATGGAAATGCCTCATTAATCATTGCTTGAAATAGTAATAGTAAATAATGTTTCTTTGGCAAATCTTGATAAAGCAAGGCAATTGACTAGAATTTTTAAAATTATGCTCTATGTATCCACTATTGCTTTGGTTTTACACAATCCTGTTCATTTTAATTCAGAAGAAAGTTAAGTGGGTTCAAAGAAGTTCCACTCTTGGACTGCAATGAATGAGCAATTTCAATACAAAAGAAGCAAAGGGGAACAATCAAAAATACATCCATTGAGCATTCCTGGCTGCTATTAAATTTTACAAAGTAAACAGCAGGAGAATTTATCATGGATTTCTCAATGTTAAATTTTGTTTGTTATGTATCATAGAACACAATAATTAGATTTACAATCTATATTGTACACATGGTGATTAAAATAAAATGGATTTTTGGAATTTCTGATGGGGAATAACGGTTGCTGCATAGACAGCACCCACAGCTGAGAACTCTAGCTAGGATGCGTATTCCACCAAAGGATTCCTGAATCAAAGAAAGATCATGAGATAAACCATGTGTGCTACAGATGGTAGTTTCTTCAGAGCTAACTGAAGAAATGGAAAAGGTTTTGCAGTCATTCCAGGAAATGAAATGCTGGGAAATCCGTAACTGCATTAGAACAGAAATGGACATTAAAATCTTGCTTTTCCCCGTTTCTTAATCATTTCAGGAAGTAATTAATTACAGATGCAGAAAGATTTCTTCTGCAGTAAAGATAAAATTTTGCAGTGAGTTAAACCTTCTTATGAGATTACAAAAATAACCAACAACCCAACAAGGGAGATTTAGATTTAGATTTAAGAACTATTTGCAAAAAATTAAGAGTAGATAGAAGAAAAATTTCAAAACGAGGGTTAGATCAGAAAAAAGGTCATTTTGATGGAATAAACTGGAAAATGTAATTTTTACTTTTAAACAGCAATGGTTTTAAATTGGATTTGGTTCAGGAGGAGAGAGAATTTTTAGAAAGATATAAAGGAGAATTGAAGGAGATGGAAATGGAGGTTTCAGAGGGATCTACACAACAATCACACCAGATGCAACAAGAATTGAAAGATGATATTGAATTAGAAACTATAGGAATAGATTTTTGGCCTGAATATGAATTGCAAATGTTTAATATGAAATATAAATGGAGCAAATACTCCTCAAAAGAGGAAAACAATCATTATTTGAAAAAAATAAAACAAGATGTTAGTTGCCACAAGAGGTTCATATCATGAAAAATATATATAAAATATTTAACCTATAAAACTTAAAGTGAACAATTTATTTCAATAGATATTAAAAAGAGAAATGAGTAGTTTTGTATATTAATCCAGGGGCCCACCCCTTGGGCCAGGACCCACTAACAGGTCTTGAGCCCTCTGGAACTAGGCAGAGGAAGAGGTGGGCGAGCAGGGGCATGCATTCCCACTTCTCCACTTCTGCGAGCAGTAGGAAAGTGTGGGCACACGCACTCCATTTGAGTGAGGGCAATGCCCGGGCCTGTTGCTCACACAAATGGAGCTGCATATGAGAGCACGCTTATCCGCCACTCACATGGAACCATCCTGTCTCCCTCCCCCCAAAGCCGGTCGCAAAGCCGGAAAGGTTGTAAAACTTTCAACTAAATCCAGTGCTAACTGATTAACATGGGAGATTTGTTAAGGCAGAAATTAATTTATGTGGGAGTAAAACTATGGTGTTGGGAGTTTATGCCCCAAAGAGGATAAAGTGACTTTTTATAAACAACAGATGGAAAAATTAACTGATTTTTTTTTAATGAAAGTTGGTGTTTGTTGGGAGATTGGAATGATGTGGTTTTTCCTCTACTGGAGATGACTTCTGAGAAAAATATTAAAATTACTCAGAGTCAATTACCAAAAGGTTTATTTAATTTAGTGACGGTTGATGTATGCAGACAGAAGAATGGTAGCTCAAAAGAATAATCTATTTTGCAACAAGACATAGATATTTTTTAACAATGGATATGATTTAGATTTGGTTTCTAAAATTTCTACGGTAGAGATTTTACAAACGACCTTTTCAGACCATAATCTTGAAGTCTGGTTTGCAAAAAAAAAAATATAGATTCAGATGGAGACTAAATAATGTGCTGTGACAGAAAGATGAAAGTACTGAGGAATGTAAAAAGAAAATAATTAAACTAAGAATAATTTTTGGAAAGTTTTTGGAAAATAATTTAAATAAAGAATTGTTTGGGATGTAAGCAAAGCTTTATAGGAGATTATCTGATACAACGTAATTCTTAACTTAAAAAGAGGCAAGAAAAAAATATAAAATACTTTAGATGAGATTAAAAGAAAAAAATAATAAATTCTCCAGGAAATAAAAGTATCTCCCAACAAATCAAAATTATAGCAATAAGTATGTATGTTAACAATAAGAGAAATGCAAATAAAATTGAACTATGCCTAGCAAAAAGATTTTGAATTTGTGAATAAACCAGGAATTTGTTGGCTTATAAATTGTAAAAAGAAAATGATATTAAAAATTGTAAAAAGGTGATACTGTATTAACGAACAAAGTTACAATACCAAAAACATTTTGTCAATATTATTCTAATTTGTATAAGGGGCATGATATTCCATTGGACAAAACTGGTGAATATTTGAGAAAACATAATGAGGATTATAATGAACAAAAGACAAATTACGAATGAACCTATAATGATAAGGGAAATTTCAAAAGCAATTAAAAAAGAGTAAACCAGTAAAGGTACCTGGACCAGATGGACTATCGAGCTTCTATTGTAAATGCTCTGAGGATGCGTTTACCATCTTTACATATATGATGAATTTTAAGGAGAAGGAAAAATGGCACAAACTTGGAAAAATGTTAATGTAAAATTAATACCTATAGAACAGACATGTCAAACTCACGACATCACGTGACGTCGCACAATGTATCGGGACGGTTTTGCCATTGCTGGCAATGGGTAAATGTAGATAAAAATCATGCCAGATAGGAATAAATACAAATTTAAGTTTTGCCCCAAAACATGTTTGTGATTCTCAGTTTAAGAAGCATTTTATAGAAGAGAAATGATAAATAAACATTAATGGCTAACTTACTATGATGTACTAGAAAGTTCTCAAGGTTGGTTAAGTTGATGGGAGTTTGCAGAGATGGCTAAATTAACTTCCTTGATAGAAGTTCTCTACATCTATGCTTGAATGAAAACCCCTTATAGACTATTTGCAGAAAAAATGCACATATGACTTGTGGTTTTACTGACTGGAAAAAGTGGATAATAGAAAAAAGGAGCTTTTTTGTAATCATAGACTAAAATATAATTTTGTAATCAAACATATTCACAGCAGAGGAAACTTGAAGCTTATTTTTGTTTTTTTTTTAATTCTTTCTCACTGCATTTTTGTTTTCCCATTTTTCTTCTTTTTTCTTTCTTTCTTTGTTCTATTTTGCATTAGTTTGTTAATTTTTATGTTCTTTAAAACTTTTAATAAAATTTATTATAACAAATAAAAATAAAATGGATTTTTTTCAATTGTTATTAGTAATATTATAAGTAGTCCACACTCGGATTATCACAGTTAGCTGAATTATACAATCAAAGCAAGCTGGTTACACTTCAAGCAAAACACATAAACTCAAACACATTATAAAAAGGCTTAACATCAACCATATACACAATAGGATTGAGCCCTATTCCTCGAAGTTAAGCTTGTGAAATTTCATCTATAAAAAGAGCCCTATGTTCAGCAAGGATATCTGCATAAAAAAAAAAACCCTTCACAATATGGCTTTTCAAATTCCAATGTTATCTTTTTAAACTATAAATGGAGGTCTTCCTGTTTTTTTGGTCCACACATCCTCACTGAACACATAGATAGATGCCTTTGTCGATGAGGTGTCAAGAGTGGGATTTTACAGGAAAATAGGTCACATTACATAGTGGTTGCCTGAACAGAGCTTTGGTGAAAGGAAGATAAAGACCACAATATGAAACAGAAGACAATACCTTCTTAGCATCAGGAGGAAGATCTTCATTAGATGAATCCATTTCTAGTTTGGATTCTTCAGTCTTCTTTCCTGCATTTTCTTCATCAATAGAAGCAGCTTTTTTAGTTATGCTATTTGTCAATTCTTCTAATTTTCTCTTCAGTTCCTTCACTTCTGTGGTACGATCAATGTAGTATTCAATAGCTAGAGGCTAGTAAAATAAAAGCAAGTCATTATCAATCATATATTCTAACTCAGGGGTCCCCAACCCCCCAGTCCGTAGACCGGTACTGGTTCGCGGCATGCCAGCAAGTGGTCCACACAAACAAGCAAAGCCCCATCCATGGGATGCAGGAAGCACAGAAAGCCACGCACTCTTCGGTTCATGGAAAAACCTTTCTCCATAGAACCGGTCTCTGGTGGCCAAAAGGTTGGGTCCTCTGTTCTAACTGGCTTATTCTAAATCAATATTGACATATGAGTAAACAGATGTGTATCTTTTTAACATGGGTTTAAGGAAACCTAAATCTCATCATGTGGTAGGAATTAACTAATCAATTTACCCTCCATGACTGTTTGGATTACTGTCTTAACTACATAAGATATTTAGACATCCATTCCTATGAATAGCAGAAATAACACAATGTTACTGTACAGTAATACTGTACAATAATGTACAGTATTTCTCTATCATCTATTTTAAATGAAAAATCCAGAAAATCTTAATGGCTTAAGCACCTGTTTACACTTGGAACCTCTTGCCTCCATCCTTGGTGATGTGTTCTATTTATACTAGAAAAACTTCTTATTTTTCCAGTTTAAAAAAAATGAACTCCCAATTTTTTTCAAAGAATTAGTTAAACCTGGGAGCAGCACTGAGGAATGTTGGCCCTGGGACTCTTCAGAGGAAGATGGAACCAGACAATTGCCTTGAGGCTTTTGCACTAATTAAGCAGGCAAGGTGCTGAAGCACAACCTGGCCTCTAGGTCTATTAAAGAGCAGCCCAGAATGTCTGATCAGGCTGATTGAACATAGCTGAGTAAATGGCAACCTGGACATATGTATAACTCTGTTCTAGATTTACCTTCTCAGAGTGAACTAGGATCTTTTCCTCAAGGCGGCTGAGCATACTTTCAATAACAGAGATGCGTTTGTTCAGTTCAAGTATCTGGGAAGAAAGAAGATAGCAAAGGACAGAGCCTACCACCACACTTCTTCTTAGCAGTTAAAGGAGAAATAAGTAAATACAGAGCAATATCAGTTCTCATAACCTTGATGGACTAAAGATCACAATTTTACTAAATGAAAAGAAACATTCTGGAAAACGCTGGAACTCTATAATACTAATTAACAATAACAGAATGTAGCCATTAGATAATTGTCAAGGGGAAAGGCTGCATACACTGAATATACACATTTAAATGTATTTCCCAGCACTTCCAATTTTGTACATGACCTCTGAAATAAGATCCCTCCTTTGTAGGATAGAAATAACATGCTCACTTGTCAAGTAACAAGGCAGCTTTGTATAAAAGTCTTGCTCTACAAACACCAATAAACAACCTTTGATATTTAGCTGATATTACTGGAAATGTAAGGACCCACCTCAATTTACTTCTTAAGAAGACAGAACTCTTGGAATGTCTCTTCCAACAGGAATCTTTATTAAGAGAAACTGATTGCAGGCATGCTAGAGAGGATCTGGGGGATCCTCTCCCACCATTCAATGTTTTAAAGTGTTCCCAAGCAGCCCCCACCCCACAGTTCTTCCGGGCGATTCAATCTGTCAGTCCGCTCCATTGGCACGATCACTCATTCTCTCTTTTCCCAGATCCCAGGCGTTGCATTCCCCCCCCCTTTTCCCTCACTGCCGGCAAAGGGGAGAACTTCAGAGGGAGTAGGATGAAAGGCGATTGTTATGGTTAGTCCTCTCGAAGAGGATCAACAACTGGTCACTTTGTAGTTAATGAAGGCAGTGAGAGTCTAAACCCCCATGCTTACCCTCCTCCCCTTCCATAGTATGACAGAATCCAGAAAAGAGTAAGAATTGGTTTTATATCAGAGTAGGTAGATAGAAATGAAATATAATTGGATTCTGACATCCTGCCCCCCTTAAAAATAAGAGAGATCCACCTGTAAAGAAAACAAAACAGATATAAAAGTTAGTCTGGCTTGTTAGGATACTCTGTATGAAACTTCTTTAATAGCTTTGGGGCTCTGACATGACATTTATGGACCCACTCGTTTTGTGAGGTGGGGAGGTGTTTCCATGCTACTAGGTATTGAGTTGTCCCATGTTATCTCCTAGAGTCTAGGATTTCCTTTATCTCGAAGTGTTGTTCTCCTTCCACCATGATTGGAGGAGGTGGTGGTGGGGATTTTTGGCCATAAGGGTGACTGATGTTCTCTTTTCAGCAAACTGCAGTGAAAAATTGGGTGTATTTGTCTAAGATTTTTGGGTAATTCTAATTCTACTGTTACTGGGTTTATGATTCTTTTAATTGGAAAAGGCCCAATATATTTTGGTCCAAGTTTTTTACAGGGTTGTAGGGATTTTAGGTATTTTGTAGATAAGTACACCGTTTCTCCTATAAAGAATGGTGTAGGTTCAATCCTTTTTATCTGCTTGTGTTTGTATGCTTGCCTAGCTTCATCTAGGGCTTTTCTAACTATTGGCCAGGTGTTTTGTAATTGTTCCATCCATTCTTTCAGTGATGGGATTGCCAGTTTGTTTCGGGTTAGTTCTCGCATGGGGTTGAAACTTTGACCGGTAGCTATTTGAAAAGGAGTGTAACCTGTGCTGGAATGGACAGCATTATTGTAGGCAACTTCTGCGAATGGGAGTAGGTCCGTCCAATTGGACTGCTGGAAATTAATAAAGCATCTGAAATATTGCTCAAGTACTGAGTTTGAATGTTCCGCTTGTCCATTCGACTGCGGGTGATGGCTAGATGTCAGTCCCTGAGTGGTCCCTAAGAGGGATAAAAATTCCTTCCAAAATGAAGACGTAAATTGCACTCCCTTATCAGATATGATGCGTTGGGGTGCCCCATGCAATCTGTAAATATGCTGGACAAAAAGTTTCGCTAAGGCTTTTGCGGTGGGAATCTTTTTGCAGGGGATAAAGTGCACCTGTTTGGAAAACAAGTCCGTGACCGTCCAGACAACAGTATTCCCATTGCTTTCTGGTAATTCCACTATAAAATCCATGGCTATTTCTCTCCAGGGGGCTGAGGGATTTGCCACTGTTTGTAACAGTCTGGGCAATTTCCCTTGCAACCTCTTTGCAGTTGCACACTTTGGGCAGCTGGCCACGTAACTTTCTATGTCCTTTTTCATGGATGGCCACCAAAATTGCTGTTTAATTAAGTGTAATGTTTTTACAAATTCAAGATGCCCTGCTGATTTTGTGTCGTGGCAGAGCTGCATGAATGTGATTCTTTGGGTTGTTGGTATATATAACTTTTCCCCCACCCAAGACAGCCCGTCTTTCATTGTATGTTTATTTTTCTAGAACCTTTAATCTGTTTCCAAACTTTTCCAGAATTCAATTCCAGTTTGGCTACCCAGCTGCAGTTTTAATTTAGCTTGGGCTCTGGTGGTTACTGGCGCTGCCAGTTGTGATTCCACCATCATCGATTTAGAGTCGGTGGCTCGCGTGCTGTTATATTCTTTCCCCCCGGCAAATGCTTCAGCATGAAGTGGAATTGGGTGTTTTCAAGGCTTCCAAATTTTTGTAGTCTGTCCACACTTGGAAAGGGACTTTATTGCCTTGAAGGAACTGGCACCATGCGAGTAGTGACCAATATATCCCGTATGCTTCTTTCTCCCACATGGGCCAGCGCTGTTCCGTTTCCGTTAGTTTCTTGGATGTATACGTGGAAGGTTGCAATATCCCTTAATCATTTTCTTGTAATAGTACAGCCCCCACTACCACATCACTTGCATCCGCCTATATTATGAAGGGCTTATCCATGTCTGGGTGCCTCAGTACTTGTTTGGCAGAAAAAAGTCTCTTTAATCTCTCAAACGCCGCTTGGCACTCCATTGTCCATTTTAGTGGCTGGCTAGGTTTTACTGAGGATGCTCCCTTCGTTTTTAGTAAGTTCATGAGGGGCAGGGCTATCTGGGCAAATGAATTGACAGTAAAAGTTTGCGAAACCCAGGAAACTTTGCAGTTGCTTTCTTGTGCAAGGTGGTGCCCATTCTAATACTGCTCTGACCTTCTCTGAGTCCATTTCAATGCCCTATGGGGATATGTGATAACCTAGGTAGTCTATTCTTTCCTGGTGGAATTCGCATTTCGATAGTTTGGCATATAGGTGGGTGGCTCGCAGTTTCTTTAAAACTGCTTTGACTAGGTTGACATGTTCCTCTTTTGATTCAGTGAAGATAAGGATGTCGCCTAAGTAAACCAGGACACCCTTAAATAGGTGCTCCATTAGCACGTCATTGATTAACTGCATAAATACTGCAGGCCCCCCTTATAATCCAAATGGCAAGACTTTGAATTGGTAGCACCTCATTGGGTAGTTAAATGCAGTTTTCCATTCATCCCCTTCCTTAATTCTCACACGGTGGTATGCTTCCCTTAGACCTAGTTTAGTAAAAAAAATGTCCTTTCGAGAGGTGTGATAACATGTCCTTCATGAGGGGTAGGAGGTATAGGTTGCTTTCACTGATTGTATTTAGGAGCCTATAAACCATGCATAAGCATAAAGAGCTGTCCTTCTTCTCTATAAAGAGAACTGGGGCGGCCACTTTAGGCTTGGCTGGTTCAATGAACCCCCTTTCTAGGTTTTTCTTTATGAATCTTTCCATTTCCTTCTTCTCCTTTGGGCTCATGGAGTATAATTTGGGCTTTGGGAGTTTTGCTCCGGGCTTGAATTCTATGGCACAGTCTGTGGGTCGGTTGGGGGGGGGAGCTCATCCACCCTCTCCTCACTGAAAACTTCAGCAAGATCTCTGTATTCCTGTAGTATTTCTGGTAGCTCCTTTTCTTCTCCCATGGATGCTTTTTCCATTCTTAATTTTGGTAGATCCCCTTGGGGTTTTAAGTCCAGAGGGTCCCCTTTGGGGAAATTGATTTCTGCCATCCTCCAATTTACCCAGTGGTTCCATTTCTTTAACCATTCCATCCCTAGGATCATCGGGCATTCCATGCCTGGGGTCACTACAAATGTTAAGACTATATTTGCACACTTTAATTTTAAATAATAGCAATAGCACTTAAACTTATATACCACTTCTCAATGCTTTACAGCCCTCTCTAAGTGGTTTATAGAGTCAGCGTATTGCCCCCAATAATCTGGCTCCTCATTTTACTGACCTCAGAAGGATAGAAGGCTGAGTCAACCTTGAGCCGGTGAGACTCGAACTGCCAAACTGCTGTCAGATGACAGTAATCAGAATTAGCCTGCAATACTGCATTCTAACCACTGTGCCACCAAGTCCTATAACTGTTTATAGAGCTGAAGTTTTCCAAGATCTCAGGCCAAACTAATCTTACACCGTGATCTCAGCTCTTCATACAGATTTATACTGTAAAATGGAAGCTTAACAGATTTAGTTTTAAAATCAAAAATTAGAAAAGAGGTTTGTCTTTTATGACAGGGGGCTTCTTTTCCTCTTTTCTGGTTTGGAGAACTCAGACAATGATAGTTGGAGAAATGGAACAATTCTGCCAGAATGAAAGGAATGTCAATAACACCAGAAATTATTATTTCTTTCTGAGGGACAAGATACTCAATAAGTCTCCCACAATGGGTGAGCTATGAGTACCTGCAAGTACCAGTTCCCTAGAAGTCTACCATTCACCCAATTGATGGATTCTGTTAAGCTGGAGAAAAATCAGATGAATGTTTGTTATGCATCTCTAACCAAAATTATGAAGATTAGTTCTTAGGCTCTTCTTTCCCTTTAATGTGGAATGTTTTAAATAGGTCGAGGGGCTCTGATGAACATCTGGAGTGAAAAATTGCTTGTGGTTCTTTTAGCTAGATGATGAACATGGTGAATAATATGATTATATACACCTAAACACTAATAGCATTATGAGGACTAATAACATTATAAGGAGCAAGAACAATTGAATTATAGCCTTACCTCAACTCAATTCATTAGATCGTAGCATCTATATTTCTGCAGCTAAAAACAAGGTTGTTTTTTCCTCATAAATCTAAATTATGAGGTACAATAAGTACATAATAGAAGCTCAATTCTGACTGAAGCACTTTTTCCAGAGACATTTGTATCACAGCTAATGTGTGCTCAAATAAATTCATGAAAAAGATCATATACTTTGTAGAACTTTTCATATTTCAGTGCAATGATGTTCATGTCAAAAACATGTTCTCATTCAGTTGGCTATTTTAAGCAAATAATGCTTAAAATATATATGATAACTAATCTCAGGAGATCTTTGGACCGTAGAATAAAAAAAATGAATTATGATTTTTTTTGATAATTTTTATTAAAACAAATTTGTTATCTTTGTTGAATCATCTTTTCCTCAAAGTTGCTTCATATCTCTATGCAGAGAAATATTTTTTTCTTTTCCCTTTCCAGGAGAAATGAATTCCCTAATTTGATTAAATTAAAACATGTGGGTGATTAATAACCAATCTTTATGGGCTATTGTATTGTAACTGGGGGAGGAAAGATTTTTTTCAAGAGGCTCCACTTTTCTAGTCCAAAATCATGCTCCTATTCAAGATGCTCTCCCCATAGTAGGCCACATGGAGAAAACTACAAAACTTGTAAAATTAATGACTTCTACAAAATGAGCATTTCTATAAAAATCCATGGACTTGTGGGAAAAAAGAAAATATGAAATATGGTGTGTTTTTATGAGTAGAAAAGAGCAAATATGGAATTCTCAAAGAGCTGTTAGTTCCAGAATAGAATTTGCCACTAGCACTAGATTAAGAGTTAGAAATGGAGTTCTACATCCCATTTCACTGATCTCCTTTTATTTATTTGTTTGACTGGTAGGGTTCCAAGTCAGAAAGAGCCAAGGCAACTTACATTAAAAACTCAATAAAACATTCATAAATGAAAAAGGTGTAGAAATGAAATGACACTATGGAAAAGCACATAAAAACTATTTCAGCCATACCTCCCCAATGCAGAATTACAAAATACCTCAGCTCATATCCTTTTTGAAAAGTCAAATTTTCAATAAATTTCTAAAGCAAAGTAGTTTAGTGTTGAATGCATCTCTGAGAGAATGGTATTCCAGAAGGCCTCCAGGATCCCACAAGATGGCACGGATTACCCTGTCAGGACTTATAGGCTAAACAGAGGCAAGAAAAACGTGATCCCATATATAACCAAGCTTTGAACCATATAGAGAAGGCATGTCAAACTGCCGGCCTATGGGCCGGATGCATCACGCTGAAACCGCGCCCACTGCAGGCAATGGGGGAAAAAGTCATGATATGTCACATGATGTCATGTGATGTTGTGAGTTTGACATGCCTGATCTAGAGCTTCATAACCAGCACATTGAGCTGATCCTGGAAACCTACTAGCACTTAGTGTAGCCTAGAATAAAGATGTGTACCTATAACTGCTTATGCAGTCACATTCTGGACCAGCTGTAACTTCTGAAATCTTAACATATGCAAGCTGCGATTCATATGTGGGCAAATGAATAAACATTGTATAATATTACACTGGCACTGCACAGAACTTGTAAATTTAATTTTACAATGGAAAATAACAATGGAAAATATGAGTTGAGTTGGTTCCATGGCACTGAGCTACTATTCACTTAAATCTACACTGACTCTAAAAGTTAGTTTACAAATATATTCTGCATCTCATTTCTAGTTTGGGTTGTATTCAGAATGAAAGCAGATAAAATACTAGATTTATTTTGTACCTTGTAGTTTTATTGATCAATTAAATCTATGTTCTGTTTCCTTGCAGATTAATTACAATATGCATTGTCATTAAAATTTAACAAATGACTAAATACCAAAGAGATTAATATTAACTCTGATGAAATATTTTATAGCTTGTACCCATTTCAATCTATGAACTGTATTCTTTGTCTCTGAACATATAAAAAATTTGTCATCTGAGTGATGAACAGAAGCACTAGAAATTATTTAATTCTTTATGTGGCTGAGAAACATACTTTCTGTTAGCATTGTCTGTAAAACAATGGCTTGGACTCAACCAATCAATGAATTTTTATATAGTTAGTCCTCGAGCTATGACCATTTGTTCAGTGACAGTTCAAAGGTACAACACCAAACAAATCTTGGTTACGACTGGTCCTCCGAATTCTGTCCATCCCAGCAACTTCATGATCATGTGATCATGGTCTGGGCTCTTGGCCACCGGTTCATACTTATGATCAGTCGCAGCATCAGAACGGTTGCACAGGATTGCCATTTGCAGCTTTCCCTGTTGGCTTCTCCAGAAAGTCAACAAGGAAGCCAGCACAGAAGGTCACAAGTCTGTTGTAAATCAAGAGCAAACTGTATTTCCACATTTTTCCATATATGAAAAAAATATTATGAACGTAATATTGAACAAGCATGCTGAGAAAACAATCATGGCCTTGGTAAAACATATCTTTGTTGGGAATATAATATCTGTACATATTATAGTTAGCTTCCCTTTGAATTTTTGAGCCCAGTTAGATGACATTTGTTACTACTTCAACTACTTTTACAATTATTGTACAGGTATTCTTCGACTAATGATGGTAACCAGAATTATGTTCTGTAAGTCATTGTGGTTACATGTTGAAGTATCACATGTAATGTTTTGACAATTTTTGCAGTGTTTGTTAAAGAAATCAATTTCCCCAATGGGTATTTTTTGTCAGAAACTGGAAGTAAATGCCAGAAACTAACAAAACAGACAATGAGACACTGCAAATGGCCATAAAGGTGAGTCAGTTGCCAAGGGCCCAAAACTTGATTATATGACCATGGCATGTCTGTGTGCGGCCTTTGTAACTTGGAACAGTTGCTAAGCATCTTGTCATAAGTTGAGGACTACTTATATTTGCACTGAACTGTTGACAAAGTTGGTTTTATTATGTGATACTGAGAATCAGGTTGGTTTTGTACTTTGTCTTTCATCTTTAACTAGGGTTCCTTAAATATTTCCCATTTCCAGTCACTAAAACAGTATCATCAGCTTTGCTTAACAAGTGTGGCAAAAAAGGTAATAATAAAACTGGACACAACTTACCTTAACCACTACCTGGCTTATCAATGGAAATACTGGTCCCAATTGTGGTTTTAACTTGAGGACTATCTGCTATCTGTAATTGTTTTGTTCTACTATTCCCTATTTTCTTCACCTTGGTGTCCTATTGTTTTGAGTCTTACTATAGTTCCTATAACAAACTCCCCAAAATAGAAAAATCTGGGATATAAGCATAAAAGTTACCCAGTATCTAATTTACCTGATTTCCAGAGTGATTTACATTTTCCTGCGAGGATGCTTGGCTCCTGTGTTTTGGGTATGGTGGCTGATAGATGAAAGTTTCTTGAGCCCCCTTTTCATCTTCATCAGAAGTATCCACCTTAGCTGAGCGCTGGGGCTGCACCTTCCATGGACTGCCTTTGGGAACAGAAGAGGATTGGACAATTTGGTGATCAGATCAATAATTACCTGATTCACGAGTAACATTTTCTGTTTTCACAAGAATTTGAGGCAAAAAAGGGGAATGAAGACAATAGAGAGAAATCAGGAAAAGTACTTTATGGTATTATAGGGCTTTCATGAAATTTAAAATATTCTTGAACTGGTATTGTAAGTCCTTCAAGATTTAGGTTCTTTTTTCAATGGAACAACTCAAACCGTGGTGCAAATTAAGAAAAAATTATATGCCTATGAAAGCCAGTTGAATGAATTCAGGCCAGTCCCTCTCCCTCAACCCTAGGAAGGAGGCAAGGGCAAACCACTTCCAAAAATCTTGCCAAGAAAACTGCAGGCACTTGGCCTGGGTAATTGCCAGGAGTCAACAATAGCTTTAAGGTACCAAAAGGAAAAAAAAAAAAAAAACTCTGCAAACATTAAGCAAGTTAGAATAAATGTTTTTACCCTTTTCAGATTCTAAGATTGAGAGAAATATGTTTTGAGCTATAAATTTTAATTGGAATACAATTAATAAAGGCAATGTCCTAAAATTTGCAAGACTATTTCCTGTAAGGAAGTGATTAAACATGTACAACTGGAGATCTGACTTTGCTGGATGGCCTATGCCTGACAATCTGACCCATATTTTTTCCTCCCCATCCTTGCAGAATTTTTCTCCTTGCAGAGATTGCTTAAATAAGCTATCTCCTAAAATGCTTTTCTTTCCAGCCTTAAAAGGTGCTAAGGGTGAGTTAACAAGCTCAGCTCTGTGACCTTCATTAATTGATTAACACCCTCTCTCAGCTGGTCCTGTTATCTGAAATATAATCAGTTTCACGCTAAAGACTTTTTTTGCTTCCTAGTTGCTCAAGGGTCAAAGCTTGCCTATAAGCTAAGCCAACAATTGACACTAAGTGTTTTTTTTTCAAAGTATGTTCTCTATTGTGGGTTTGCTTACTCTCTTGTAATTCCCTCTCTCCAGTGTGTGGAATTAAACAATTTCCCCTTGCTAGTTATCCCAGAACTGAAATCAGAATTCCGAAGAACAGAGTGGGGGGGGGGGGGGAAAGGGCTGTAAGATTTATTCCTTTTTCCTAGCTTCCTTGTGAGTCATGCCCTTTGGGTTTACCTGGCTGTTTGGGGTTGTATTCATCTGATGCTCTAATGGTCTTTAATGCTGATCAGGGACAATTCCTTAATAAATCTTTTTCAATATGTATTACCCTCCTGGCATCTACTGTTCTCATTGTTTGTATCCATCCTGCAAATTCTAAATTAAGCGTTGATGCACAGATTGATGGCAGCACTGGGTAATGGAAATGAATTTGAGAGACAGAGAAAGATCTACTTCCTTGATCTGGTAACTAGTTTCATATTAGAATTTTTAAAAGGGCACATGGTAATTAGATTATTTTCAAGTGTTGGCTGAGTAAAGGAACAGTTTGTATTTAAAACAGCCCCAGCCCTAAGTTTGGCATAAGAATAGGTTCCAAAGCAACAAGTACGTTACTGATGGAGATTTTCTTTCCTTTGCAAGCAAGGCTTGAAGCCCCAATGGGGGAATATCATGTGGAGGTGGCTTATGGGCCAATAGCAGATCCTACCTCACCTTATGTGCACCGTTTCCTCCCTCATCTTTTTACCATAATTTTAATCATAATTACATTTGTATTGCTACTATGTATGCATGTATGTATCATTTTATTGTTTTTAACCTTGTAAGCCACCCAGAGTCATCTTTGCAGCGACATAGGCCACAAGCAAATTTAATAAATAAATAAAAATAAAAGAGTTATTATGGATATTACAAAGCATATGAAAAAGCTGGGGAGGGGAGTTGCACTCTGGAATAGTAAAAAAAAACACTGCACTTTTTCCTACCAATTCTTATGGTTCGTATGATGAAAGAAAATTTGCGTCAGAAATACTTTAAGGAAAAAAATACTTTTAGATAAATGTTCCTGGGTAAAATCTAGGGTTGTTATTTAATTATACGATGGTCAGGATGTGTTATTTGTGTGTGTGAATATCTTGTCTTTTATTGTACAATCATCTCTTATTTGCCTGAAGGCTCCCTAGATTCCCATGCTTAAATGAAATTCAAATGAAAGAAATTGTAAAAGTTTTAATAGCAGCGATATTTTTACCACTATCAGAATCTTGTGTTCAATAACTTCTTTCCCAGAAGAAATTAGGAATAATCCCCCACCTAATTTCTATGCCCATAAACTTGATGCAGAATTTTGTATGGCCATTTCTGCTTAGTTCTATTTGTGTGGGGCTCTGTGGTGATTTATTTGCGTGTTTGAAAGCATGCATCTTGAGATATCATGCAAATAAGGGCATGATGGAGGCAGAGGAGAGGTCCCGGGGCTTATGGAGTGAAGGAACTGGATGAGGCTGTCTGCAGGCCCAGAGGAAGGGAGAGAGGCTTTTGGAGGAGTTGGTGGCGGTGGTAGCATGCTCCAGGGGCGAAAAGAAGCAAGGCCTCTTTAAGGAAAAGCTGGAAGAGTCAGGATCTGAAAAAGGAAAGAAGGCGAGGTTGTCATGCAGGAATACAAGCTAATTTGAGGGCTAATCCACACAGAGCTCCATTTCCATCTGTCCTGTTTGCCATTGTTCGCTCCCTAGAGGTTAAAATGGTTGATCTGAAACTTGAGCTGGCCACGAACAAGGAATGTATATCGGAGGTGGTGGCCCTCTGAGAGCTGTATGCAATAAAATTTCATTTTGATGTATGCCAATTGGTGTACGTTCAAAGTGACAATAAAGTTAATAATAATAATAATAATAATAATAATAATAATAATAATATCATCATCATCATCATCATCATCTATTTTGGGCTCCAGTCTTAAGGATACTTTCAATGTATGATACTGTCTTTTATTGAGCATGACCAGTGATCCATTTAAGGAAGGTGCAGAAGACATAAAAGCTGGAATCTATTTTATTCAGCATGTAAAACTTATTCTTTGAGCTGTAGCTTCTTCCTTCCCTGTTATACTTCTCAAATATCCTATGATATGAGTAAGGAATGTCCAAGCGATCTGTTTGTACCAGGGTCTCCAAATACTTTACCTCGATATGAGTAATCTCATGAATTTTTACAATCCCTGTAGCTAAACTGGAAAGCTTTTGTTAGAAAGTTGGAGGTTCTGGAACTTTGCCCCTTTATTCCCTAATCCAGGTTTGTAGCTAGTTTTCATCAACTCAGTCATCCAAATCACCTGTAAGTTAAGAAAACCTATAGCAAATTAAAAAAAGGCATTATTTGTAACCCGAGGAAAAGCAGATGGCTGATCACTGCTCATGCACTTCCCAGTGTTTGTCACCTTGTTAAGAGAAACAACATTAGGGATAACTTGGTTTCTGATAATTTCATTTCCTAGATATTTATAGTATTGGTAAAACACTGAGCCCTCTGACGCAGCAAAGACTTGGAACATAACTAGATTGTACCTATTATACAGAAAATGTAATACCCTAAAACTCTGCAATGTAGTCAGCAGTGTGAAAATAAGAAAATATTTCTGCCCTGTTCTATGATGAGGTATATCAAAGCAATTATTTTTCACCATCTGCCTTTGTCATGCATCTGGATGCATTCAGATTCTAGCATCCATTTCCATGTCCAGTTAAAAGCACAATGGGCTGACTGAGACAGTCTTCAGCAGGAAAGCCTAATACAAATCTGGAAAACCAGGGAAGAGAGTTTTCCCAACAACAGACAGCTATCCTGCAAGTTGCAGAATAGTTGACAGGAACAGAAGTGGTAACGAGCTCATCATTTCTGAAAATCTGCAGTTCCTGAATAAAGCTAGAAGTGCAAAAAAGCAAATGTCTCTTGGCCTGGGTAGGATTTGTACTCCTTCTTTGCAAATAGAACAGCCACATTTTTTTAAATTGGATCACATTAATTTTTAAAAATTATTTTCAGGAATTCAATGTGGCATATATAACATTCCCTCTTCCTATCTATTCCTGCAACCACAACCCTGGAGAACAGGCTGGGCCAAAAAGAGAATGAGTAATATTTTTTTTTATGACATGGAGAGCTGCATTTGATGGTTGTTGGTAATTCATTTATTTCCCTTCCATAAATTACTTTCAGTCAGCCTGGCAACTAAATGGATCACTTTTAATTGTAATTTTGAAAACAAATGTTTTCTCATATATATGTATATGAATAGACATATTTGTATTTTTCCTGTGTTTATTTTACCCTTTTTGGATCTTTCTATTTGCTATTGCTGAGTTACACACAAATCATTCTGAATCTTGAAAAAAATATCTTCTCTCTATGGTTTTGGTCAATTGTTCTGACATAACAGAAAATAAATTCCAATATAAAAATACCTGCAATTTTAAAACTTTAAGTAGTCAATTATATGCCAGTTTTTATTTTGCTGGAAAGATTGTGAGAAAACTGTTAAGGATGGGATGTCTTTCTGTGAATTATGAAAAAAATATAAAATCTCTGCATGTAAACAAAATGTGATACATTTCTGAAAGTTTGAACTGTCCTGAAAATGCAAGATACATTGTTAGATAAACACTGCCTCTAACACTGGCAATTTAAGATTGCCTCTAATGCTGTAAGTACCTACCAGCTTTGGGGATTGTTTCCAGGTTTTTGGTATGTGAGTTGTCTATAAACTGGACTTCTGTACTGAATTCCTGTTCTGGAATTGCTATGTGCTTCCTTTGCTCTTGCAAGATATGATGGAAGACTGCAGCCAAGTCTGCTTCTGCTACCATGGAGTCCTTCTGCATGGAGGCTTCCTCACCATTTGGAAAATCTTCAGTGCTCTAAGAAGAAGAATCATCTGTTGGTATTAATAAGCAGGCTACATATTCTCTCATTTGCATACTTACAATTGTTCTTTTCCAACAAGTTCTTAATCCAAGAGCATTATCATCTAGCTTTAATCAGCTGTGGCATAATAAGCCTTGTGTGCCAAAAACATGTGTACACATTTTCATGGGGCATAGACATGGTAGAACCTGGTCAAAATCACTGAAATGGGTAGACGACATTAATGCTGAAAGTTGGCTCTCAAGCCACATTTCTTAATATCTGACAAAAATTCAACCCAAGTCTACCTACATTCTGAAAATGCAACTCATCCATGATGCCAAACTCTGACGGAAGAAACTACAAGCTATGTTCTCATATCATGAAAGAATCTAAAAAGCTTTTTGCCCAGATTATGAGATCAGATGGTCATTTCAGGAGGTGCTGCAAAGATATAGTTTCTGCTGAGAGACTCACACTGCTGAGTACATGGAACATCTTGATTTTTTTCTGAAAAAAGCCAAGAGCCCCAGGCGTCTCATAGATTTTCAACATTTGAATACATTTGAATACATTTCTCACATTAAAAACTCTTAGGCTACACACTGGGTTAACAAAGTTCAATGAATAGAAAAGAAACTGAAAGAAGAAAAAAGGATGATAGACTCACGCCACAATCACCAACAGATCCCTAATACCTGAAGGCCTTCTTTCCCAGGACATGGAGAAAGCTGGACAGATTGACGTCGAGATTGGGAAGAATATTCTGAGTCGGTTTCAAAATCAAAGGAATGTACAGAAAGTAGGCGCTTTTTCTTGCGCATCTTAGGAAGCACAAAAAGTAAAAGATTTAAAATTTCACTGCATCACAAGATATTACATTTCACGTGATCTTTAAGAAAGGATAACATCCCGTCTGGTATTTACTGTATGATAGTAGCACTCTGCACATCTTGTGGATACCTCTTCTATATCCAATTGCAACCTTTCCTATATCCAGATGGCCCGCTTACAGTCACTCATGCCCCAGTCACCACCTATTGAGCTACTTTAACAAGGTATACATGTAGCTGCCTTTGAGAAACATATGGAAGTTATATCTGGTGCAGAATGCAGTGGTCTGGATTCAAATAACCCACTACTCTGGGAGCTTCACTGAACACTTGTTGATTTGTGGTACTGGTTAAGGCCCTTAATGTGGATCCAGATTGCCTTTTTCTGTATTCATCTGCCTATCTAAACAGATGAAATATGGTTACCTTCTTCAATGACGTTTCCTTACAGGATTGTCACCTGATGGGATCTCAGAGGTAGGTATTCCCATTAAAAAACTTCATTTGCTTACTTTAGCTATCAGAGTGTCTCTCATCTAGTGGATTGTTCTGACTACCTCATCTTGCTATGACAGTTCCAGATTTCTTGGTTTTGGGCACATAAAAATCTACATTAAGTTCTCTGTGACACTAATAAATACATAGGCTATGGGGGGGGGGAAGCAAACATATTCTATTAAATATCTTTTAAAGATAATTTAAATCTTAAAGTCCTCTCTTAAATATCTTGTACAATCCAACAATGTTTATGTTTTCTTACTTTCTAGCCAACTATGAAAGAATCATTTTTAAAATTAATGTTGCTGTAATGAAAAGTGACTCTAAAGGACCAGGGGATTTCAGAACAGCAGCATTAATGCAGTATTTTCCTACTCTCACCAATTTATCTGTAAATTTATCACTCATTTATTTGAGAGAGGCTACCCTATTGTGATTAGGCATAAAGATTCAGTTAAGAGATCAATAATTTGATAATGTGACCATACTTTTGCACACTTAGTCTCAGCAGTTGTGGAATGGCAAAATGTTTTAATTATTTTCTTTATATTTTAGTACTGTAGCTTTACTGTAGTGCCTTCTATATAGACAGCCAAGATACTCCTCATTTTCATCAGGCCTCTGCAGATGGTTACACCTGGTTGATCTCATTTCAACTGGGAATATCAGGATTATAGGTTAGACTGAGAAATCAAAAAATATATTGAAAGAAGAAGTGGAAAAGAGTCTTTCCTTGAGAATTCAGACATGAGTGAGCACATTTCTGGAAATGTATTGCATTCACTAGGACTTTTGTTTCGACTGTGCAGAACCAAAAGAAATTTGTTTCAGAAAGATGCAGCTTTCCTCAAGATAAATTCAGAGGAAGTGAAGAAAAGAAAGGGCAATATGACTTAATAATGAAATTCCACATTATGTAAAACATGCATGGAAAAAAAGTTACATGAATTATCCTTACCCTGGCATAAGACTCAGATTCTGCTCCATCCACATCATCACTTGTTTCCCCTTCCTCACTTTCATTATTTCTGTACAAGTGATAATCATCTGGATAAGAAAGACACATGCATGTATGCAAACAAACATGTTGATTAGATACCCACCATGCAACTGAAGAGGGGTTACAGCTCAGTTACAGACCACATTTTACATTCCAGAAGATGTCAGGTTCAATTGCTGCCAACCTCATTTCACTGATTTAGAAACTGATATTGCTGTATATTCATTCCCAATGGTAATTTCATTTCTCGTTTACTGTAATCTGGTCCATGAATGCCCTTCTTACAACTGCCCTGCTAGCAACAGTTAGTGAAAAATATTCTCATATAAAGACACTTGTCCTTGCTGTTGGCTAGTTAGGCTGACAAATGTAAGCAACTTGAAAGGCAGGGTACCTGGGATGCCATTTTCTCCCACTGTAGATTAGTCATGAGGCCTTCTTGGTTGTACCACTTCTTGTGAGTATTCCTTAAACTCTACCAACAAAGAGGCCCTTTCATCTCATGATGATGCTGTTGATATATGATATTCATAGCCACTGGTTATATTACAGATTGACTCTACGGACTGTACTTAATGTTAAAATATAATGTTGCACCTTATCACCTAAAATTAATGATGTTAATTGTTGGACTTTTATCAGAAAAAAAAGGACATTCCTCAAGGTGATTGTATCTGTAATTTCCTGACCACTTATGGTGAATTAATTGCAGATCCACAGCAGACCACAGGATTTCATTCAGAGGTTTGCCTCAATTTGACTAGGGCTCAATTGGAGTCAGTCTACCTACTTTGAGACATTAGCCAAATCCAAAATGAGATTCAGAAATTGGGCTGTTTTTTGTTCCTTGGCAAGTATGGAACAATATAAACAGTTCTACATTTTATCTTATAATAGACTTAGACTTTTTTCAGACACATTAAAATGCATAAGGGAATGCAGCCTGCCAAGATTCATTGAAACATGTTTAGGAATTTTAAGCTATATTTCTGTGACTTTTGATTGTTTTAACAGAAAGTGTTTGTACCCAGGTTGTTTGAGGACAGAATTTAAAAGACATTTTCAACCATACTGTTCGCTGGAAAACCATTGTAGCCAGTTTCAGATCCATGAGTAAATTTGTGGCTAAAGTAAAGGATCTCCAAGAAAGGAAACTGATTCTCAAATAATATGATGGGGAAATGAGATGAAAACTTGAATGGGGGAAAAAGGGAGAAAAATAAAATGAATCATTTGCTGAACTAAACTGAAAGGAAAATGAAACAATTAAAAATAAAACAAGACTATTTAAAATACAAATCAAATCTCAGAACCAACAGGTAATGGTGCAATAATACCTTAAACAACATGTTTACTATGACACAATTAAGAAATTAGGAACAAAGACATGGAACAATCTCAATCAAGGAATCAGTACTTCAGATGCTGTGAAAGGAATGGCCCTTTGGCTCAATTTTCAAACAGCTACTTCCCTTCCTGGCAAAAGCTATTTTCTTAAAAGAGCATTGTTTCCCTTTTGGGAGTTCCCCAAAGCTGTAAAGTCCTGTTTTGCATTAGCAAACTACTGAACAAACATCTTGGAAGTAAGCAACTGCAAACCACTTCTGTATCATGCAAAAAAAAAAAAAAATTGAACAGATGTGTCCATATAAATCATCAACTCAAAGGCAATGTTACAGTTTTGTCCCACTTCTGCTCAGGACATCAACATCTGATGCACATTTGTATGGTTTTTTGATCCCTTTTATTTTGAATGGATGAATTCCTGCCTACAGTATGGACTCAATGTCTGAAATCTGGAATAATAAGAGGCTCCATTTTCAAGATTCTTTCAAAAGGACAGCACTATATTAGGGTCTAAAGAATTTGTAAATTATTATGAAAAAAGACAACACTGGTGACATCTGGCAAGCTATGTACTCTGCCACACATAAAAGAAATTATGCTATTTTAAATCAGACTTTATAGTAAATATGATGTAGGGTCAAAGTCTGATTACATTTATCAGAGTTCATAGCTAATCAACAAAAAGCAATAGAAAATAGCAGCCCTTTTGCGTATCTGTGAAATGGTGTACACAGATAAATAGTTAATAATACTACGTTATGCACACTTGGAATGTGATAGGACATCACTGTATTCCACTGATTGTCTCTGCACCATGAAATGTGTGCAAGAATAAGAGTGACCTTCCTACACACTCTCATGTAATTGTGACAGCCCTTCTCAAAGCCTGTTGAGTTAGCACAAACATAATGCACCCAATAAATTATCAGAATGACAAAAGGACAAAATATCTGAGTTTTTGTAACTTGAATCTGTGAGGGACATCTGATGATGCCAGGAAGCAGAGCTTGATGCCCACCTTATGGAATATTTTCCCTCCAAATTCTGGTTTCATCACTGTTAACGTTCAAGGCCTTTAAGGTTTGGCTATGACACCAGGTTTATTATATAAAATTATTGTGAAGTCATTTTTAAGAATGATATCATGAAGGACACAGCTGTAAATCTAATCCAAATCAGAACACTCTCTTGAATTTTAGCTGAATTTCCTCAAGATTTCCAAGTCTCTCTCTCTCCAAATGTTTGTTCTCAGGCAGAATGCAGCTAAATTTTCATTCAGACTGTAGTAAAATTTCCCAACACTCCTGCCTTATGGCTACTATAGATATAATTTTTGCACCAATTTCAACCATATAGAAAGGAAGTGAATGTACACATTTATCTGACCTTGACCATAAAAGTGTTCTACCTGCATTCAAGTGAATGAGAATACAGCATCTTATCAGACCTAAATGCTAATCCTTGTTAATACAGAGACTAAAAGAGGGAGAAGATACAGGGCAATGGAAGAGGGCTAGTTTAAGTAGCCTTATGCTTGTATATGGGTTTTCATACTCTGTCTCAGCTTCAAACCTGGCTGAGTCTGTAAGGTTTTTCCTTCTTCTTTCTGTTCAATTGTATCCAATTCTCAGAAGCTGCCAGGTCAAGTCCTTTGGTAAGGTTTTTTGATAGTTGTTCGCCACTGCCTGCATCTGAGGGCGAAGAGAAAATGTCTATCCCAAGGTCACTCCGCTGGCTTTATGCCTAAGGCGGGTCTACAACTCATGGTCTCCTGGTTTCTAGCCTGATACCTTAACCACTACTCTAAACTGGCTCTCATTTATTTTATTTAGTAATATTCAGTTATTGGTTTGTTATTTATTCAATTAGTAAAATATGTATGCCCCCTCTTCAAAATATGCAGTATTTTATATCTGCAATTTCCAGATCATACTTTTTATTTTTTTTCTATAGTTCCATACTGATGAATTCTAAAAACTGCTTATTTTTTTGTGATATTTTTATTTCCTTAGGGCTGGTATTGCCAAATCATGAATTTAGATTCTGCTCTTTTTATATTTTTATTCTAATTCATTTTAGAGTTTCTAAGACGTATAAATATAAAAACTACATACAGTAAAATAAATGGTAGCTGAAAACTATCAGAATGTTCATGAAGCTTATTTGTGGTATGAATACAACAAGCAAGCACCAAACAAGAAATAGGATGTTCACTAAACACAAATATGTAGCTTTGAGAAAACTCCAGCCATGCTGAAGAATATGTTAAAGGAAAGAGATTGGAAGTTAACGGGTCCCAAGAAACCAGCAGAAAGTCAGTGCGTTCTGACTAAGAGAATGGAATTCTGAGTTGGATCCAAAGAGCCATAACTGGAAAAAAAAATAACCACAAGCAAAGTTCCATAAATGCTTGTACACAGACATATGACAATTCTTTTGTGGCTACTTAAACAAAAAAGGGTACAAATCCTTAAGGCTTTTTCAGAAGCAGACATTTTTAAGTATATAATATGAAGTACATTATATGAAGAATAAAATCTAACTCTATAATACTAGGTTGCTTTCTAACAGAGTCATATCCCTACCACCCTATCACTCAGTTTAAACCCTGATTATCTATAAAACAATGTGACATTTTCAGTTCTAAATCTATAAAGTTCTAAAACCATACCATAGTTCTAAAAACATAGGTATTATCAATTGGGCTGTGCAATACTTTGGATTCAAGGAAAAACATGCTTTCAAATGCACAGACCTATCTTAAATTTCTTAAATGTTAAGATACATTTCCCTGGGATTGTGCAGCTTCTATAATGGAACTATGTAAGCACTGCTACATTCCCTAAAGCATTTTCTTCCCTTGGCAACTGAAGTACCATACACAGGACTACTATATTTACAACAGAAGTACTTCACTTCAATAAAACAGCATAGCATAATAATGATAACTTCTTAGGGTTTGCAATATTGTTGATTAGAAACTCCTGCTTATCAATCAAGTATATTTTTGATACAATTTTCAGTTGTATTATTTCTGGTGATTATTCTGTGATCGCTGTGAAAAAAGGATGGTAGAAATCAATGATTCTTTAGAACAGAACGTTCCTAGTTTTTCTAATCAAATGGACAAGTAAGAGCCAACACTGGAAGCTCACGGACACTCTCAATTGCTATATTGGAGGCAATGTGACTGTGTCATAAAGCTTTATTTTAAGCAATCAAGAAAGTCACATTATATAATAATTACTACATTATCTCTCCATATATTATCATTACCTCTTCTGGCATGTAATACCAAATCTGGATGCTGGAAAATATGAAAGTCCCTCAAATACTTCACTGTTACAAAGAACTTATTCTTTCAAATTTTTCATATTATTACCTTTAGAAAAATGGGTCTTTTTACTTTCAAATGGATATCCCCAAGTTTAGAATGAAATAACTATCAAATTACTCATTCCAATTCACTTTTTCCAAACCATTTCCCAGTGGTGATTAACTTTCTAAAACAAGTTGATGGGGATCAAACCAGCTGGAAAACCACATTCTTTGGCCTGAGAGTAATATAATATGTGGAAATAGACTGCAGCTATTCAGAGTTAATTACAGTGATGTGTTATTTAATTCAGTATACAGTGGTTTGTAGACTCTTCCAAGCTTTCTAAAGAAAGTTACTGAGAAGATCTCACTAAGACCATTGCTCATACCAAGTGAAGTAGATTTCGTTTTCTGTCCATGCGACATCCTTCGATAGAGAGATCGAATCACTTTAGCACTTCCAAAATGCTTGAAACGAGTTCTGACATGTTCATAATACCATTCCAGGGATCCAGTTTTGGCAATCCTGCCCAAAAGATGAGAGACAGTACACACATTAGCCAGGATGAATTCTTCATTCAATTAAAATATTCCCACTGGTTTCAGTGAGGAAGACTGAAAATATTTTAGAAAATGATAATGCTTTTAAATATAACTAATAAATCTGAGCACTGTTGATACATTACTCATATTCAAGATAGTCATCTAGATAGAAAAACCAGGGCTCTGCTGTTCTAACACCAACATAACCTGTAAGCCATCCAAAATTTTCTTATAGGAGAGATGGTGACATAAAAATTACTTACTTATTTATTTACATACTTACTTACTTAATTAATTAATTAAATAGCATTCACATGTTGACTGTTCTCATGTGAAGAGAAACCTCTTTAAAGAACCAGTTACTCAGTTTTCTTCACAATTTTGGCTCAATGTACATGTATCAATGTTAAGTTTTTTTAATACAATGCATAAGTTACCTGTGTATCAATAATGCTAGCATAAGACTTTATTTTCTCAAAATTATTCTAGGTAAAGAGAATTGCCTTTAGTTTTGAAATAAGATAATGTGGTATTGTGTCAGAAAGTAGGAGCCATTGTTCAGAAAAGTTCTAAACAATGTCCCACATTTAGTGACTCTTTACATATGGAATAGTCCTTAACAGATGAGGATTATTCATATGATCTGTGTGTTTCTATACAAATCATATGAATAATCCTCATCAATTAAGGACTATCATGGCAATGATGTTGCTGTAGGAATTAGGGTGAATCTAACTAGTTACTTAGTATTGTTAGTTTTTGATGATCAAGGAAGTAAGAAACAAACAAACAAAAAAAGCTGCTAAAGTATAGCAGAAAATGCAGGTAAAAGAGAAGTAATGGCCAATAAGCGACAGAGGAAAATCCATGAAAAATAGATTTTTAAAGTTTACACCTTTATTGCTTTAGCATTTTAAAAGACCAAACAAAGACAATGCATAGCTCTTATCTTTGCAAATTTAACTTTTAAAAATACTGCATTATAATATCTTTTTAAACATTTTTTACATAGTGTTAAATATTTGCCAATCTGGAAAGTGGATCAAATTCTCGAATTCTAAGAATGGGAAAGAAAGCAGCTTCAAGCAAATATAGATGAGTATATGGAGAAGGAAGGAAGGAAGGAAGGAAGGAAGGAAGGAAGGAAGGAAGGAAGGAAGGAAGGAAGGAAGGAAGGAAGGAAGGAAGGAAGAAGAGAGAAAGAGAGAGAGAAAAGGGTTTCTCAATTTATTGTCATCTTTGCAGGAATCACTATCTTTCAGCATAATATATTTACAAAGGCTATTACAATAAACACCCAAGGAATAATCCTATGTGAATTATAGTTTAGTGTCTCCTTCTTTTAATAATGAAAAAAGTCAGTATTGGCATCTTTCTCTTCCCCCCGCCCCCAATCCATTCCTTCCTCTAATTTCTACTCTCATAGATGTCCACAGAGAGAAGGGATAACAAGAGATAAAACATACTTTGTAACAGCATGACATAAATTTAAATAGTTGCATTCAGCATTGGGCCACAAGGATAAATGAGTATGGTTTATAACCCATCATCACGCAGGTTTCATCATTTATCTCTCACCATGACTTGTTTTCAGTTCTAGATATACAGGAGGTAGACTGAAATGAACAATGCTAACCAAACTAAACACAATATTCTTTGTAAGATGTGCTAAGACATGAAAACTATACTTCACATGAGAAATTAAAAAGCTTAAGAATGTTACTGTTTAATGTCCAGTCAGAACTATAATAAAGAGAGATGACAAAACTCTTGTCTAGCCCACTTACCTAACTAGGCGACATGGATCACACATCCAACCTTGCTCCTTTTTGTTGTACTGGCTGCAACTTTTGCATATGTACAAGTGACAGTCCAAGCACTGGCGTTTGCTGTTTAATAGAAACTTAAAGGGTTGCAGACAATGGATACAGAGGGTTTTGTTGAGGTGGGATTGAGTGGACAGTAGCTCCCGCTTAATGCTTTCTTTTTCAATTTTGCATTTTAGATCCCTTTGGGGAAAAATAAATAAACCCTGTCATATGCTTATCAAACAGCACACACACTCACACTCACATATATATGCATGCATTTCTGAATACTGCAAGCCCTCTAAAGTGAGTGGCCATAATAAATATAATCAGTAATAATATAAAATTAATAAATGTCCATATTGTATATTTAAATTAAATGGTGTCAAAAAGGTTTCTCAGATTTAATCAGACAAAAATATGAGAGAAAGTGAATTCTTAATGGGGCGCTTAAAATTCAATTCCTTATGTGAAACAGAGCAGTGGTGCGTAGCTTTCTGTGATCTACAGTTTAAATTTTATTCTTTTTTCCCCTTAAAAAGAGAAGATCAGAATTTTCACAGATTGATAGGACCAGGATTTTCTGACCTCTGTATCTGAAGCTATGTTGTGCATATTATAACTACATTTGTAAGGTTTTTTTTTTAAAAAAAGAATGAAAATGTTGTCTCCCTCTTTCCTTGAGTTCTACTGAAAATCAGTTTCATACCACCCCCTATTAAATTTACTTCCCCCAAATTGCTCCTTTTATTTATTCGCCAAATACCCCACTTTACTTTGTCCTTCTGTCTGAGCCCCTGCTCTTTAGCCACCTCCTGTTGCATTCTCCTCATCTGGGGTGGGGAGTGGACAAATGCTAGGAATCATCAGTCCAATTCACTGTCCAAGCCCACTTTCTCCCTCCAACATTAGCATTTCTATGTTCAGGCACTTTTTCACAAAACTTCTCTGCCTTGGCCTTCCACTGTCACATGACATATAACGTCAGGCCTTCCAAACCTGCTCAGTTAGCTATATCTTCACTTTTGTAACATTGAATAGGAAGGATACAACAGCATTTGCTGTTCAATTTAAGTTTTTAAGATTTGCAAAAATTGGGCAGGTACCACCAAGCTGCGCATATAAAGCTGAATTCTCAAAATCACAGAGAATCTGCATAGATGTAATTCTGTGTAGATTTTGAATTACTTTTAAGCTTTGGCTTCAGTACACTAGAAAGGAAAGATGAGTGTTTCTCAACCTTGGCAATTTTGAAATATGTGGATTTTAATTCCTTCTGGCTGGGGGATTCTGGCAGTTGAAGACCATGTTTTTTAAAATTGCTAAGAGTGAGAAATGAAGCCACTGAAATAATCCCTCCACTTTGTCTGACATTTATGTTTGCTTTTTAAACTTGTTAGATGTCAACTCTGTGGCTTATAGCACATCAAAGAATGTGTGGGAACAAGAGACTGCATTTGGGTATTTTGAAATAACATCATTATTTAGCTTAGTCATCTAGACTAAGGGAGGGAAAAATTGGGTTTCCCATGGAGCATGATCATCATCTACATCATACTCTAAACTACAGATCTCAAAGTATAAAGCAGACATCCTCTAAAGAAATCTGGCGAATCTTGTCTTTTGTGACCTTTCCCTGTAAAACAAATACTTAGAAGTTCATAAACTTTCTTAATGTCATCATAGCCCTTTGCGATAAACTATCATCATAATAAATCATCATCGTTATCATCAACTTTGTCTTGTTTACTGAGGGTTAGTGGGTGGCCAAGGCTAAAAAAACTCAGCTTCCTAGGCCATATTAGCAGAAGTCAGGTTCAAATTAGGGGCTTCCTCTTCATGGTTCTTAATTGCTAAATGAGAATATGCCTGAATCACAAAATTTAAATGTTACTTAGACTCACTAAAAGTAACATGGGTAGCTCTGTTTCTTTCTTATTGTTTAGGCATCTGTAGAGTATTTTCAGCACAAATCCAGAAGAATGATCTTGCATAGTGGCTGTCAGGCATGAAAGACCAGGTCCACATATGAAGGTTCAATTAAACTGATTATTAAAAGCCTATGTACAGGAATCTACTCAACTAACAGTCAGCATCTACTTAGAGCAGTGGTTCTCAACCTGTGGGTCGGGACCCCATTTGGGGTCGAACGACCATTTCACGGGGGTCACCAAACAACACAGTCCGCCATTTTTTTCCCCCTTTTCCTTAGCTGTGCTACTCCTTTTTATTCTATTGGCTTTTGAAAGCCAATAGAACAGACTCTCTTGAATAGAGTCTAATTCTATTGGCTTTCAAAAGCCAATAGGAATTGTCCAGGCTGTCTCTGCCCTGCTGAGCCTGCCAAAAGTCCCATTCTGCAAACGGTGCTGCACAGTTGAGTAGTCCTCGACTTACGACCAGTTGAGTAGTCCTTGACTTACGACCGGTTGGGGGTCGCGGCATTAAAAAGGTTGAGAACCACTGACTTAGAGTTAGATAAGGGTCACCAGCACTTGGGGTGGGTGGGTGGAGGGCTTTACAACTTCTTTTCTGACCTTGGGCTGAAGTCAGTATGTTTGCCCTGTAAAAGAATATGGAATAGTAATCTCTGTTTGTAGGAACTAAAAAAATATTCCAATCAATATCTCATATACACTTTAAACTGGATTTTACCAGCACAGATCTGCCAGGTTTCTGATAGACTTTTGTCTGCTTTCAGCACAGCCAGAAATATACAGCATATTTTGTTTGCCTTTGGGGCAATGATTAAGGAATGTAGAATTTGTATTGTAGGACAGGTACTTGATGGCTTATTTCTAGGTGGGTAGGACTGGAAAGTATAACTGGAAAATTTTCATATACATAGTTATTAATGTTGCTCCTGCAGTATATTGACTAGCAATAGTGCACTGAGATGTTTGCTTTTTCTGTTTTCGCAAATGTCTGGAAGTATGATCAAATAAATATATTGTGTACACAGACAAAAAAGGAGATTAACTTAGGGGCTCAACAAGTCATCTATAGAAGTTGACTGTAGAAGCATTCATACACTACAGGCCCAGTACTCTTCAATATCTTTATTAATGACTTAGATGAGAGAATTGAAGAGGAACTTATCAAATCTGCAGATGACACCAAACTGGCAGGAGTTGTTGTGATTCCTCACCAGACAGTGGATCCGGCAGCCGAGTCTAAGGACTCAGATGAGGAGCCTGGAGTGACACTGGAGTCTGAGGAAGATAATGAGGAGCACCAATATTCACAGTCAGATGAGAAGCCCAGCCCCTCTACTCATGCTTGGGCAGAGACACAACTGTATTGGGAGGCTGAGTTGGGCGATGATGAGGAACAGCTGGGGCCAATCCCAGATACGTGGATGCGCAGAGAGGAGAGGCGAACAAGCCAGAGAAAGGCAGTGGGTTTTCCTCATGAGTAAAGCAGTTGACCAAGTACTCACATAGGCTGGGACAGAACAGAACAGGAGTAGCCAACATCCCAGAAGACAAACCCAGGATCCAAAAAAATCTTGATCAACTTGAATAATGGGCCCTATCCAGCAAAATGAGTTTCAATGTGGAGAAAAGCAAAGTTTTACATTTAGGCAGGATTGAAACTTTTTTTTTGCACATGGCGGTGGAGGCCTAGGACTGGGGCGACAGCGCACATGCCCACAGAGAGGGCTTTGTGTGCCACCTGTGGCACGCATGCCATAGGTTCACCACCACATGGCTAGACAGTCACTTGTCTGAGATGGTATAGGTTCTCCTGCTTGAGCAGGGGGCTGGACTAGAAGACCACCAAGGTCTATTCCAGTGATGGTAAACCTTTTAGAGACCAAACTGCAACCCAAAACCCACTTATGTATTGTTGGGTGCTGGGTGGGCATGGCCCATTGGGTGGGTGTGGCCCATTGGGTGGTGTGGCCAATTGGATGGGCATGGTTTCGATGGTAACAGCAGACTGGGTGGCACTAAAAAGTTCAATCGATCAATTCCAACTTTGCGAGATCCTTTTTTTTTCTGTGAGAAGTTGAAATTGATTGATTGAACCTTTTTTTTTTTGTATATGGTGGCAGAGGCCTAAAGTGAAAAAGTTTTATAAAACCAGCTGAAGGCCTAGGACTGGGGCGACAATGCGCGTGCCCACAGAGAGAGCTCTGCATGCCACCTGTGGGATGCGTGCCATAGGTTCACCACCATGGGCCTAGGATCTTAAGCCTGTCATTGATAGCAATCTAACCAGCCAATTTGATCCTGCAAGGTTGGCATGCTCTGGATTACTCTGATTAAGAATGTCATTTATTGGGACTCTGAAAGCTCATCTTCTCTGTAAACAGCACCTGCCCTGTGAGAGATTTCCTGAGATCTGAATAGCAACTCACTTTGCTGCCTTTGGCAAGGGAGACCCCTCGCTTCAACCCATTAGCCATCTTTTTATCTGCTATGTTTTATTGCTTTTATTGTAATTTTTTCAATTGTTGTGAGCGATCCAGAATGGTTGAGAGTTAGAGGGAATACAAGTTTAATAAATTATTACCTAATAGTCTCTTGATATTTCAGCAACATTGAGAACTGTTCTCTATACCTTTGTGTGCTTCTACCATCACAGAAACATAAACAAAAATTGAATGTGTGAAATACCCCTCTTAATGCAAGAAATCCACATTAGAATCAGAAAATTAAAACAAAACTGTTACAGGTAAGCATTACATTCAGATTAAGTTAAATTCAGATTAAGTTAAATTAAGGTTAAGGCAACTGAGTACATCTTGCCTAATGAAGAGAAGTATTAGGGCTGACATGATTAACATGAGGGGCTGACACAGAAATGAGGGGGTTGACTTATTCTCCAAAGCACCTGAGGGCAGGACAAGAAGCAATGGGTGGAAGCTTGTCAGGGGGAATTCCAACCTGGAGCCAAGAAGAAATTTCCTGACAGCAATTAACCAATGGAACAACTTGTTTCCCAGAGTTGTGTATGCTCCATTGCTGAACATTTTCAAGAAAAGATTGTACAACTATTTGTCTGGAATGGTATAGAATCTCCTATCTTGAGCAGAGGGTTGGACTAAAAGACTCCCAAGGTCCCTTCCAGTCCTATGATTTCATGATTCTATATTCTACTATATCAGATCATGAATGAAGCAGCAACACAGAGATTGCAACAGGCAGCAGCTATCTAATGACAAAAAAGGATAGAGGAGACCTAATTTGGAAAGG